GGAACCTGAGATTGTGTGTGTGTGTGTGTATTTAAACATTTAAAAACAAAACTCTGCTTTTTCAGTGTCAAGATGGATTTGACATCAGCTCTAATTTTGATATGGTTTAATGTTTAGGAAAGCAAGCATTGATTTCTTCTATTTTTTCAACTGCTGAAGGCCAGCTATTTCTTTCCACCAGGGGATCTGCTGCAACACCCACTCTTCCTGTATGTCCTAACAGCCTGTGGCGGGGGAGCAGTTTTGCTAGCCATCACAGCCTCATTGATCACATGCTGCTGCATGAAAGCCAAACACAACTTCATTCAGGTGCCTGTGGGTGAGTAGGGCTTTTCCTCTTTGGTGTGGTGTCTCACAGTACAGCCTCATGTATGCTTACTTGGAAACAAGGACTTAAAGGCCCATGAAAGAAATAATAAAAAATAGAGGGAAATGGTTTTTCCATTTGTATTTATTATTAAAAACTTCATTTAGGCAATTTGGCAAATAATTAGCAAATATTTTTGTGGAAGACATCTCCTTCTTTGGTGAATGCTACTGAACACATGCTGTTTACCTCCTCAGAACTACTTGCCAAGGTGGGTAGCGCAAGCAGAGCATGCTCCACAGCATTCACCAAAAGGATGAAGTCAGTAATATGTCTTCCAAGGTCTTCACCAAAGCAGTTGGCAAATAGTCTGGAAGAGGCTCCAGGCTGAGCAGTCTCAGTGTGCCCACATTTGCCAAAGCTGCCCAGACTGGAAGACCTGTGGCAGCACATATTAAGTGGCTTTTGACTGGCAATCCCATAATGGTTGCTCAAGTCAAAAGTGTTGATGGATTTTGGTGAGCTTTATAGGACAAGCATTCTCTTAGCCTCCTCCAAGTACACTCAGCACCATTTGCCAAAAAAGGAGAGAAAAAGCTCTTCTCAGCTGTCTTCTGTAGCGTAACACTATGGGAAAAAGCAGAGATAGGCTCTGAAACAGAGTCAGATGTAACAGAGTATGTTTGCATTGTTTCACTTTTAGAAGCAACAATACCATGTTGCTTCACAAATCAGCTTCAGGAGATATTCATTTCATTCATCAGGTCAAAGCACCCTTCAAAGCTTCACTAAACCCTAATATATAAGACAACAACATGACAGTCTTAAAGTCTATTAGGGCTTACTTCCAGGTAAGTAGGGTATAGCAGGGTTCCTCAACCTCAGCAACTTTAAGATGGGTGGACTTCAACTCCCAGAATTCCCCAGCATGGCTGGCT